GGGGGAGGGCTCTGTGATCGGGGGAGGGCTCTGTGATCGGGGGGAGGGCTCTGTGATCGGGGGAGGGCTCTGTGATCGGGGGGAGGGCTCTGTGATCGGGGGAGGGCTCTGTGATCGGGGGGAGGGCTCTGTGATCGGGGGAGGGCTCTGTGATCGGGGGGAGGGCTCTGTGATCGGGGGAGGGCTCTGTGATGTCCTCTACAGCATGTGTGCACAATGGGCCTCCAGCTGTCTCTGGGAGTGGCTGTCAGTGTTGCAATGACTCATGGGACTTGTGGAACTACAAGCTGGAGCCCCCTTCCCCCCTACTAATGATCCTGAGAGTCATTGTGAGGCCGGGGACCCCCCCGAACTCTGATAGGTTCCTGTCCGGTGTGGCAGAGAGTGACATACAGTCATGGCCAGAAATATTGGCACCCCTGCCGGATCGCGCTCGGCGCAGACAATGGCGGCAATGACAAATGTTTCGGCTTCTCGTGTTTATTTCTTTGTATCGGTGACACAAATAAGTGGAGAAAAGCCAAATCTGACCCCTCCCCCTTTTTGGGGTCACGATGTTTTGGGGGTGCTTTGCTGGCACTGTCCGCACGGCATTATGAAATCTGAAGACCACCAGAGAATCTTTCTCTTTCCTCCACGTTCGGGGAGATCGGCGCCGGCGGCTGGAATGTGGAGGCGGTGCCGATCATGGTGTCCATTTTTTATTATACAGGATTTATATGGCGCCAACAGTGAGCGCAGCGCTGTACAATATAGGGAAGACATTATTTAATACAATTCAAGACGCTAAGGAGGGCCCTGCCCCTGAGGGCTTACAATCTAAAAGGGGAGGGGCCAGTGATACATGAGGAGGGAGCTGTGTGGGGATGAATGGTTGAGGTTGGATCGGCTTCCCTGAAGAGATGAGTCTTTAGGGATCGCCTAAAGGCAGTCAGTGTGGGAGACAGACGGACAGGTTGGGGTAAGGAGTTCCAGAGGATGGGAGAGATGCTAGTGAAGTCCTGGAGGCGAGTATGGGAGGAGGTGACGAGGGAGCTGGAAAGTAGGAGGTCTTGGGAGGAGCGGAGGGGACGGTTAGGGTGATACTTTGAGACCAGGTATCCGTGGTTGGGGGGTTGCGGGGGGGG